CCCTCCCTCCCTCCCTCCCTCCCTTCCTTCCTTCCTTTTTCTTTCTTGTGTGTGGTGTGTATGCTTGTTCAAATGTGTGGGGGCACACATGTTGTGCAGGGTTTGTGTGTGTGTGTGTGTGTGTGTATATCTGTGTGCGTGAATGTTGAGGCCAGAGGCTGATGTCGGCATCTTCCTCCATTCCTTTCCACCTCAGACCTTGAGAAAAGGTCTTTCACTGATTTGGCTAGTCCAGCTGTCAACTTGCTGCAGGGATCTGCTAGGATTCACCTACTCACCTTTCGAATGAGTGCTGGGGATCTGAACTCTGGTTTTCATACTTCACAGCAAGCGCTTTACCAGCTGAACCATCTCCCTAGCCTTTATGTGTATTTTTTTCCAGAGCTTCTAAAATGAAAGGTGGGTTTAAATCGTTAGAGGCGGCGGTGATCTCACCAGATGTAAAGCTCCTGTTTCTGAAGTTATATTTCATGTTTTCATTCTAAGATTGACTTTGAAGCAGTGATCTAGCTGGCCTACTTTCTTTGCCTTTTGGTTCTGTTAGGTCAAGGCCCCCACTGGGTTCTAGCCCCTCAGTTCGTAAGGCACACTCACCTTGTCTCTGGCTGAGTCCTCCCCAAGCCTACGGAGGGTTAGGGTTAGGGTTGAGCTGTGGGGGAGAGTTCTTGGGCTCTGATTTCCTTTCACTTGCTCATTGTGAGTTCTCATCCTCAATCTCTTCCTCCCTCTCCCAGAGAAGGACTAAGCTCTGGTTTTCCCTTCTTTCTAATTTAACTTGACTTTTTAATGCTCTTGTTCCCATGAAGAATCCTCTCTTCAGGCCTCAGTTGGGATGAACTACACAAACTAAAATTGCTTGATAAGAAAGTGTCATTGCAATGTTCTTGGATTTCACAATTTTTTGCTATAAGCAGTCTTCATTCTGTACCCTTGCCTTGACCCCACTGCATACAGTTTTGCACTGTTACTAATTCTGCTTTTGGAGTTCACACCTTTTCTTTGTATTTTTATCTCTTGTTAGAGACTGGCCTTGGACTTTTAACCTTAATCTTTTGCATTTTAAATTCCGTCAGTTCTCTGTGTAGATAAATCTACTCTGTTTGCCTTTTCAAAACCAAGGATACCAGTATAGTATAATACAGAATGTTGAATTTGACATATGTTTTGTCTTCAACCTGATCTACAAATAAGGAGTCCAAAATGCTTCACCTTAATCTTATTTAGTTGAGAAGAGATTGAAGTGGGGATGGGGAAAGGTTTTTGGCAGCAGAACCAATGTTCTCTCAATAAAGTACAAATCACTCAGGTCTTTCCCAGTGAGCTCTCAAAGCAACTCTTAGATATTGCTAACCTGATCCCAAAGGAACTAAACAGGTTCTGAGGGGTAGAAAAGGCTCATATCACCAGTGATTTCTCTGTAAAGTTATATTCGGCCTTATGCCAGCAGCTCATTGCACCTAATTTGTCTGCAAAAAATATCTGTTGTCTCATGAATCAAATCTTCACTTCGTAGTTATGAACACGAAGGCTGCTGACATACCTGACTCACACAGATGTGACTGCTTTGTCCTCTATCATTCAGCAGATCTGGCAGAACAGGGCGCCAGGGACCCAGCAGCAGCTGAGATGTGGCTATTGCTGTGTAGGAAACCATTGATCCCTAGTATTTTCTTTTATGTCATTGCTGTCACGATAAACATGGTTATGAAATAAGACATCTAACGGAGTGTGAGGACTGGAGGTTAGAGGCTCTGTAGAGGCAGCAGGACTTATTTTCCTGTAAAGAATTTAAGGCTGGTTAGATTTCATGTCAGGCCCCCAGACTAACTTTGGTCATAATAGAGACCGAGAAAGTGGAAAAAGCCATTAGCTTTCAAGTCCTGTTGCTCCCTCTGCAACGTGCCATTCATCAGCTCTCTCTTTAACATCCCCATTGCTTCCTGTCTACTTCAGATCCTTTCTGCTTCCTATCTTGAACTTTGGATATAGTCTCCAGGGCTCACTCTCCTCAGTCGAAGTATTTTATACTTGCATTATTCAAGGTACAATCAGGGAACACACAATTCTCTGGAACTGGGTTGTTCACAGTTTAACAAAGGAAATCACAAGGACCTTGGCAGGACATAAGGAAACCATAAAGGGAAAGTAGCAGTGTGCTGTTTGTAGGAGGGGAGGAGAGAGGATGTTTATTGGAACCTGGAAGGAGAGGGCTTCAGAGAAGGGGTACCTTGAGAATTGCCATTTTCTTCGAATGAGGGTCATAACCAGTTCAAGGTCCACCCTGCAGAAAGAATGCAGGAGAATATGTACCTTCCTCTCACTCTCTGTTCCTCCACCCTGTCCCTCCGTTCCCTTATTGTTGTTCTGTGTGGAGGAAAAATGAACCTATTGTTGAAGTGCATGAAGTCTTCTCAGGGCATGGAAGATGCCAGAGATGGCTAAGATTGGAGCCAAGGGATAACTAGACCATGTCTATATAGTACTGTTCATAGACCTGGAAATTGGGCAAAAGATCTAGACTTTCTGTGAAGATAATTGGCTTTAGACTTCACTCATGTATTTTTGTTAGTAGTGTTTGAATGTATGTGTATGTGTGTGTGAGTATATGTGTGTTTATGTGTGTGACGGTGTGTGTATGTATATATATATATGTGTATGTATGAGTGTATGTGTGTGTACACAAACACACAGAATTCTCCTATAGGCTACCCATCAATGTATCTATATTTATCCTAGAAAATTAATGCATCCCTCAACTCTCACCAGTAAAGCTTCTTTATACAACAGAGGGCAATGCACACGGAAGGCCACAACAGGCCAAGTTTTAAAGAATAAGAGACTGCAGAGTGTGCATCCTTGGATGGGACTCCTATATGGAACCTCATCCACCCACAGCTCAGGGACCATTTTGGAAGAGGCAGCAGAAAGACTGTAAGAGCCAGGGCTGGTTCATGAACACAGGGAATCAGAGGCTTTCAGGCCACTGGAAGCTTGCACATGTGAACTTGTGGCAATAGTGGTATTGAGCACAGGGCCCATGCCAACTCAATTAAACAAGGGCCCAGAGGGGAGGAGGAGTGGCAGGCTGGCCCTAGACTGAGAACTACTGGAGATTGATGCTGAATGGGCTGACGAGACTCTGGTAGACGAATTTACACTGAAGGGCATCTGGGTACAAGTGCTTGACTGGATGGAACTTAATGTGTATGGCAGAATACATGAGGTCTGTTTGGGGGTTGGGGAGCATGGATGGGGAAGGGGGTCTAAAGTTGATTAAGAACTGTTGTATGAAATTATAAAAGTTTAATAAAAAATTAAAACAAAAAACTCTGTGTGTGTGTGTGTGTGTGTGTGTGTGTGTGTGTCCAACTGGGCATGCACTTATGTTTCTGTCTTAAGACATGTATTGAACATTCTGAAGTTACAAAGTGGAAGAGAAAACTTCCCTTAGAGAACGGGGACTTTGGAGTCTAGTGAAGATAGATGGGTAACCAAATTCCTAACAGCATCAAGTGTTATGATAGAGAGTACCCAAGACCTATAGTGGGACATAGAATGTAAGTAACTCTCACTGAGGGGTCAGAGAAAGTTTCTAGGGTAACATGACATGTAAATGAGTACACCACTTTTCAGGGAAATACGAAAGAGTACCTGGCCTTTAGAGAGAAGCCGCCAGAGGAAAGGCAGTTGGGTTGCAGAGAAACTGTGACCAGAATGAGACTAACCTGAGCTAGAGTTGGGTTTGCCTTTGGGAAAGAGGCTTCTGCCTGGGCCCACAAATTCATCCCAAACTAGACATGTTGGTGGAGTTGCTGCTGAGACTGTATGAAGAAGCCAGTGAGGCCTGAGCTCAAGGCATTCTCAAGTTGCAGTTCTCTGACAGGTTGGTCCCAGAAGTTAGGTATGCTGGTTGTAAAGCACAGTGGGAAATGAAGTCAGAGTGTTTGGGGGTATCACAGACTCCTGTGGGGAATGTAATGAATGTATAGATTTTCTTTCCAGAAGAATGTACCTTTATATAACACCTTAAGTGTAATTTTTGTTTGTTTTGAAACAGGGTCCCTTGTAGACCCAGCTGGCCTGGAACTAAGTATATCAACCAGGTTAGCCTCAATTTCACAGAGATACCTCCTGCCTCTGCCTCCCATGTGCTGGTATTAAAGGCATGTGCCACCATACCTGGCTGACTTCAAGTATAATTTAGATTTTAAGTCCTCTAAAATCGAGTCCTCCAGTAGTGGCTATCAAAGTTCGCTCAGGGTTAAGCACTCTTCCTGCAGATAGTGGAGGCCATTAAAGAGTTTCAGGCAGAAGTATTCAGAAGTTTCAGGACACATTCAACTTTTATCTTTGAAAAATCACTATGTAGAGGCTGTGGGGAGTCGGCCTAGCAGTAAGAGAAATTGTAGGGTTAGACCAATAGGAAAGGGAAGTTCTTGTGAATGTTCTTCCTCCATGGAGGTGGGAGAGAAGACATTAAGAATGGAAGGAAGCCAGGTATGGTGACTCATGCCTTTAATCCCAGCACTCAGGAAGGCAGAGGCAAGGCAGATCTCTGTGAGATTGACGCCAGCCTGGTCTACATAGCCAGTTCCAGGTCAGCTGGGGCTACAGGGAGACCCTGTCTCAAAAACAAACAACAACAAAAAAACCAAAATAAGAATAGATGGAATAAAATTGGATGGGTTATCATGGGTAATATGAGTTTAGTATTAGCTTCCAGGTTTCCTATGAGCCAGTGCTGTAAGCCAGGAGAGAGGATGTTGGGAAGGAAAAGTTTGTAGGTTGGGGCCCAATGGTTTCACTGGACGCAAGTTGAGTCTAAGCTTACTGTGAGTCTCTCATTGGTCATGTTTCATTAGTAGTCAGACAGGGGTCTAGAGTTAGTGCAGAGCCTGGGCGATGTTGCAGAGAGATTTGGTGGTCTTCAGAGAACAGTTCATGTTAAAAACTGACAGTAAATGAAGTGACTCAGAGTGTAGAGAGTGACTGCAGAGGGCAGAATCCTGGAGAACTGCTTGGCTTGGGGGCCGAAGATGAAGATGGATGCTAAAGGGGGGGGATAGGAGTAAGGAGGAAGTAGGGGCACAGAACCAGAGAAAAGGAAGAAATCAACAGTGTACATGCAGTAAGGAGTAAAAGAAATGAGAGGCAGAGGCGAAGCTGCCTCTTCACACCAAGGGAATGGGAAGTAGAGGGTGTGGGACACATGGCGTGTGTGGCAGGCTAGTTTCTTTAAGCTGTTAGTGTTGAAAACTAAGATCAGCTGGAGAAATTAAGGGCTAAGGAATGTATGTTGGTAAGAACACAATTTTGCTCCCCCACCCCGTGTGTGTGTGTGTGTGTGTGTGTGTGTTCATGCAGGAAAGGAAGAGAGGTGATTACAACTATGTGCTGTGTTTGAAAGTAGCTTTTGGATAACATCTCCATGTACTTACTTTGCTCCTAGAAGAAATCTCGTAGAATCCACACCGTGGAAAGTGACCTTGGAAGAATGGCAGCTGAGCTGAAGGAATGGAGCCTCAGCATCCCCTCATCCCCTGGAAGCCCTGACCAGACAGAAGCTGCCCCTGCTGGCCTCTGTGGAGAATGTGATGGAGATGACTGTGCTGAACCACATGACTACTTTAATGTCCTGAGCTACAGAAGCCTAGGGAGCATCAGTTTCCTAGTGGAGACTGACTAATGACAGCCAGCTTTGGAAGACACATCCCTGCCTGTATTGCAGATGGATGTGTGACTGCCAGTACTCTCGCCAAGGTGCTGTGCATGTCTTCATTTTCTCTACCCTTCTTTTCCAGCTCTTTATGACAGGCTCAAGGTAAACAGCTTGTGACTTGATTATAGATTCAAAGTTTTTTAAAAAGACAAAACCCCCCAAACAAAAACAAACAACAAAATCCCAAACCATATCCATCTGGCTTTGCACAGGTCTTGTTGCTCCAAGAATCACATTTCTCACAATAGCACTGGGCAGGGTTTGGGGCTACAGGGGTCGAGGTGGATGATGAAGGTGGTATAGCACCAGAATCACTCTTCTCATGTCTGTTTTTGTTTTTTTAAGTCAATGTTCACTCATTTAAGCCATTTACGGATGCCACATAGTAGTCATTTCTATGGGGAATTCAAGGATCAGCCTTAGTTTCTGCCCTTAGGGAGTGAGGAGACATTTATAGTAAATGTACTAGGAGATAAGGATGTATGAGTTGGGCTTTCAGGAAGAGATCCAATCAGGTGAGGCAGTGAGGATGGCCTTAGCTGTTCTGAAGTCTCCTGGGAGCACAAAGGGATGAATGAGGCTGGGTTGTGGCAGGAAGTATTTTTCTGGGGGATTTGAAGAACTCAGGTTAGTATAGATTCGAGTCTTACAAGGAAAGTCCTGGCACCAAAGGACCAATGGGCATCAGGTTTTCTTCTTTAGCTGGGTATTTCAAGGCCCCTCTTGTGATGAACTCAGAGTCTCTTTATGATGACTGGTCCAGAAGACTCCAGGCACATCTCACTGCATGGTGAAGTTCCCCTCATGAGACCTGTCTCCCCAGGGAGCCAAGACCCAGTTCCTGGACCAGGATCTGCCTTTTCTGGATCAATCTAACATTGAGCCATTGAAAACAGAGTCTGTTTGCTACCAATAGGAAAATCTAAAATTTAAAAATAGGGACTTTTTCTGAAAAAAAAAAAAACAAAAAACATAAAACCCCAAAAACGAAACATACAAACAAACCAGGGTATGTACATTTGCCTATGTGACAGAGGGTTTAAAAAATAAGATCCTCCTGCTTACTGTACCCGTACATCTTTGTGCTGGAGTTGGGGTGCCTGTAATTCATTTATGTTGGATTGCTTTTTAGGCTGGATCTAAAAGGACTTTGTTGTTTGACCATCTCTCATAGAGAGATGAAGGAGGTTGGGGAGACTGGATTTACTGGTGGGTTGTTTACTTCCATAGGCACATAACACAGAGAGAAAGAGGAGAGCTTGACTTCTTGTGTTCCCCCCCTTTTTTCTTTTCTTTTTCCTCCTTCCCTCCCCCCCCCCTTTCTCCTTTTTTTTTTTTGAGACCAGGTCTCCCTATAGTCCCAGCTGGCCTGGGACTTACTTAGTATGGAGACCAGGCTGGCCTTGATCTCACAGAGATCCACCTGCCTCTGCCTCCCAAGTGCTGGGATTAATGGTGTGTGCCACCATAGCCAGCTTTTTCTTTTTTTTTTTTAATTTAAAAATAATTATTTTAATTTTATGCGTATGACTGTTTGGCCTGCACGTATGTAAGTGGACCAGTGCATGCAGTGCCCATGGAGTCCAGAAGAGGGCATTTGATCCCTTGGAACTGGAGCTATGCATGGTTGTTAGTTGCCATGTGGGGGCTGGGAATCGAACCCAGGTCTTCTGCAAGAGTAGTCAGTGCTCTTAACAGCTGAGCCATCACTCCAGCCCTCCTCCTCACTTTTCTATCAAAAGCGATATTATTAGGAACAATGAGCTGAAATCTATCTACAACTCCAATCCTTTGGAAGAAAGTTGGATCATGTCAGATGCTGTTGTTTACTGTGGCAGTTCACAGGTTTTCTTACAAAACTAGTGCCAATTGGTTGGAAGTAGAGTACGCCTCAGAAATTGGAAATGAACTAAAATGTAATGACAAAGGGGAGTGGTGACTTGAGTTGGAGGAGATACATACTGAGCTGAGGTTGGACTGAGAGTTGGGTGTCATGTACATAATTATGGAAATTGGGAAACATTTACCCATACCATTGGGTGATAAAATAAATACAAAGGAGCCTATAGATGTTAGAAATGGGTCAGGTTGCTAAAATGAGATTCATTTTGACAGAAAACAAATTTCAAAGTGGAAACTGAACTAGATTCTCCTCTGAGAAGCACAGAAGACAAGTGCCTAAAAGCCAGACTCCTGGAGACACGTGCTGCCCACACAGTAGCCATTTTTCTCATGGGGATATTCTACCACATGTACCATGGGGTTCATTCCTGCTGGGACTTGCTGTGCTGTGACTGTAAAATACACACCAGATAACAATGTAAATCATAAAAACTCTTGTCATCAATAATTTTAAAGTATTCATTACCTATCACAATGATGCTTTGGATATGTTGGACTGGATAAACTATATTACTAAAACTAATTTCACCTGCTTCCTTTTGCTTTTTAAATGTGGTTTTCAGAAAAATCTAAATTTGCTCATGTGGCCCCACTATAGTTCTATAAACTTGAGCCACAATGGAACCGAGGGAGGGTGCCTCCCTTTGTCTATTATCTTGTCTCTTTCTCCTTCACTTATAATGTTTGAGGAAGCTCTTCCTCCATATCAAGCCTGGCAAGAAGAGGGAAGGGTCAAGAAAGACTGAAGTAAATCCTCTACGTGCTGACAGGAGGGGCTCCCAGACTTCCTGGGTCTCCTGACAGGAACTAGAGAAGATGAATGAGTCAGTGAGAGTTCAGGAAGGAAGACATTTACTTGTTCCCTGTTTCTATTCTGAGCAGGTCCATGATCCAGAGAATTATACCGAATGACCATGAGAAATGTTGTCACTGAGCTCTGAGCCTTCAGGAGTGGATCACACCTTACCCTGTAATTTTATTTCAGAATGTATGCTTTCTCATCCTCTGGGCCCTGAAAATGAATTGTCACACACTCATGTTCACACAGAGCTTATGAGGGCTGAGATGGACAGGCAGGGAGGCTATAATTGTCTGTACCCAATGGGTGCATTCTGGTGGCCTGTGTGCTTCCCACAGGAAGGAGGAACACACAGCTTGGCTGTGGCTGCCAGCTGGAGGAGGAGATGGAGTTTGTTCAGTCTTTGGGTTCTTCCCAGGCCTGCTTCATGCCTATAGCTAGAAATCCCCCACCCTTCACCCCCAAACACAACTGCCAATAGGCCCAGGGGACCTTATGTGTGACCGAGGCTTGAGTTTTTCAGAAGTCACAATGATGTTTGGGAGGATTTATTTGGAAAGGTAGCGTATAGGAGGATGCTGTCTGGTAGAACTTCTGTGGTGATGGAGATGTTCTGTCTGTGCTGTCTGATAGGATGGCCATTGTCCACAGAGGCTACAGAGATTTATAAATCTGGCAATTGTGACAAAAGAAATCCAACGAATTTTAATTAGGTTAAATGTAAATAATTAAATTGGCTGGTGCACTGTGTATTGGATTTCCCAATTCTACTCACTGCCTTGCATAAGGAGAGAACACAGAGAACTGTGTTTATAGAAGGGTCTACAGAGGTTAATATAACAGTTACAATCAGGAAGAAGTATGGAAGTTTTCCTTCTGTCCTTCCTCTTAATGGGACAGAGCATGAGTTCAAAATCAGGCTCCTCATTTACTTATTTCCTGCTTGTCCCACAGTGATCTGAAGTAACCAAATGGTCCAGTTCACATAAACAGGGTCAGGGCTGTCAAGAGTTTGCAACTTGGAGGTGTAGGACCTTGTCTAGAAAATAGTATTTCTGATTCCATGTAGACACTGAAGGACACTTCTCCAGGACTAAAACTGCAGAGATTTTACAGCACTCAAAGAGAAGCAACCATGGTGTGGAGAGGACTAGAAATTGGGCTAATTGTTGGCCTCTAATTTTTCATGACAACCAGTGACAGAACCTCTCAGACCTCATTACCGGTATTTCCTCATTTGTAAAATAGCAATAATAATATTTCAAAGGGTTCTTTTGAAAAATTTATTTTTATTTTATATGCATGAGTATTCTGCCTGCGTGTATATAAGTGCACCTATGTGGTGCAATGCTCAGAGGCCAGAAGAGGGAGTTGTATTTCCTGGGACTGGAGTTATGGAGTTGTTAGCTGCCATGTGGGTCTTCTGCAAGAACAGTCAGTGCTCTTAAATGCTGAACCATCTCTCCAGCCCCTAAACTTGGGTTTTCTTAAAGCCAATGATATTCATACATATCAGTATTTCTCAAATTTGAATAATGGGTATACCCCTTTAAAGAAAAAAAGCTTCTCACAGGTCCCCTTAATGGGAGAAAGTCTAAACATTTTTTTCTCTGCTTACTATCAAATTAATATATATTTCATAACTATTTTTATTATAACCTTCTTAAATATGCTTAAATATAACCTCAGGTAAATCGGTTATGCCTATAGCTCTTATAGATTCAAAACAATAGTTACACATTCAACACAAGTAAAACTATGAAGTTATTTTTGCAGTTGCATTAACGTAATGCATTGGCTGATGCTTTGATGTGTTGCCCACAGTGGAGTGTGCTGCCTGTTGAGCATGTCTCTGACTTCAGCATCCCTGCAGTGTTCAAAGTGAAGACAGTTCTCGCTTTCCTTTCCTCCATCAACTACTATAGACTCTTCTATTGGTCCATTCACCTGAAGCAAAGGAATCATTTATGAATGAAGCTTTTGTACATTGCCATTAACTTGATTATGTACGCAAACGTGGAAAAAAATAACAATGACAGCACACTGTTAAAAAACAGTATTGACTTTTTAAGAGATTATTTTACAGAAAACACATAGGAAACCTGTGGACCCCCAAGACTGTATCAGCAACTCTCATTTCTCAAATTCTAATTATGATTCCAAGCACCCACATGGTGGCTAACAACTGTCCATAACTCCAGTTCCAGGGGATCCAACACCCTCTTCTGTCCCCGCGGGCATTTCACAACATGGATGCACTTTCATA